GACTCCAGTACCGAGTTGCAGTGCGGTATCGATGATGGCAGGTATTCCATCCTCGGAATGCAACGCTGATGAAGCACTGCAGACTTTGGCGCACGCACTTCCCAGTTGACCCTGACCTGTACCATGATGAGCGTGTTGGAATTGTGCGGAAGATGTATTGTGGATTAGCGCGCATCTCAGACTTACAGTTCGCGCGATAGCTGGATACTGTAACTTAGCTTGACAGTGCACGCTTTTAGCAGTTTGCACCGTCAGAACGCCACTGATTGTGTGAACGGTAGCTTCCATGTGTTTATGATGCCTCAAAAGCAGAGGCTGTATGATTGCAAGATCGCGCAATGCGACTGTCTTTAGTTCACATACATCGCACACCCGGGTCATGTGATGCACGTACCCTGTTGCTGGAAATAGTGGCTTATTGCGTACGCAATGATCAAATAGTTGTGTTGAAGATGAGTGATGACATACCATGACAAGCCGTTTTCTCATTTCTGTCATTGAGAGGCACGTACCACGTGGCAGGCTTCTGAACCAACATTTATCGGTGGAAAAAATCTTGATGAACGAGCAAATATGCGGTCTGTATCCAGTACCATGCAAGTGCGACAGCGACGAGAGTATCGCGTGTGCATTTGTACCCTGAAAGGCAAATGAGCTGGTGCCGCCGCAAGCAGCTTGATGTTGGGCATACTTACTTGAGGCTGCCATTGAACGCGACATACCGGCTGAGCTCTCGTGAGCGCCCTGCAAAGACATAGCCTCGTAAACATGCACATTGAGTGATTGCAGGTGCATGATACTCGGGTTTATCCGAGATTCAAGCCCGCGCAAAGTACAAATCAGTCCCCCCATACCCGCGGCACACTCAGAGTGTCCCATTCTTGACTTCATTGCATGTACTTCGACGTGTTCTGCGCTCTTCAATATACACATCGCCCCACCTATTTCAATAGGATCACCGAGTGATGTTCCTGTTCCGTGCATCTCGAGAGCGCACACTGCGGTGGGCTGAACCGCCGCACATGTGAGGGCTGACATAATCACTCTAGTCTGTGATGGTCCATTTGGAGCCGTCAATGAGCTCGTGCGTCCATCTTGGTTCACCGCGGTCCCACTAACTTGTGTATCGCCGCTGCTGTGATGCGATGCTCCACGCAGAAGGCACGTGTCACAGCTTTCAGCTCTGACGTAACCATCAGCACGTGTGTCGAGCGTCTTGCAGCGGCCATCTGGTGCGAGCATACCGGCTCGCAGAAACATCGCAGTTGTTGCCTCGGTGAGGATAAGGTTTACACCACCTGCAAAGCTTGATTCGCATTCACCGTGCGCTACAGAATGACGGCTGAGATGCGCCGCTACAAGGGATGATGAACACGCAGTATCAATGCTCATGGCAGGTCCTGTGAGGTCAAATGTGTAGGACACACGCCCAGATGCGACGCTCAAGGCATGTGCGGTAGCATTCAGAGAGCTGTAGCTATCGTGATCATGAGCACTCGTGAGATTTCCGTATTCCATCCAGGCGATTCCAATAAATACAGAAGACTGCGTTGACCTGCAATCAGGCATTGTCATACAGCTGATAACGTGCAACAAGAGTCTCTGCTGAGGGTCCATGCTCATAGCCTCCGCCTTACCAATGCCAAATACTCGCCAATCGAATTCAGAGCGCTCTTCCATTGTCATAATACCGCATCGAAGTCGACTGTTGAAGTGATAATCGTGCTCTTTTGTCATGGTGTTATGATTAACCCGCATCGTGTGTACTATTATACTGTTTCTCGCGGCAAAAAACACGATTTCAGCTTGTTGACTCGGCTCTGAGGTGACCTTGCTGTTAAGTATGTGATCAGTGGCTTTGTGAGAAAACATTAAGGGTCCATTAGCGAGGAAATTCACTATGCTATCAACCGAAGGATAATCATATAATAGCGTTGAAGGAAGGTCGAGCTCCAGATGCTCACTCAAGTCGGCGATCATACACATCGTTTGAGTGGAAGACAGCCCCAAGACGTTGACAATTGAATCACAACTCATCAATGAGCCATAAGTATGAGGTTTCGTATGCTGTTGTACGATATCCAGGAGCTGAAAAGTAACAGCATCAAGATGTTCACTATCGGGCTCAAACATTTTTATCAGACTCGAGTCTATGTGTTGCGCTTGTACGAGTGTTCGATGCGATGAATGCATTCCAAATAGAAAGGCACTACACGGTTCCGCACGGGTGAAGTATCTTTCTATTTCCTCATGTGAACACCACCTGCTTGTGTTCACAACTGAGCCATTGTAAATGTTTCCAGCAGGATGGATTTCTGGATAGAGCAGGATGGTGTCAACGATTCGTAGTATCGCGAGTTCACTAGATGGGGCTCCACTCAAGGTCAGCACGCGTACGTTTTCACATATTGTTGATGGGTAGTTCCACCGCTGGTCCAAATCTGAAAGAAGCGCAAATCTCGCCGCTACCAATCTCTGCGCACAATGAAATGGCAGCGTGACTATGACAGGCGTCGTGTTTAGACTTCCAAATTTGAACATGTCAGGTGTCTGTCTTATTTCACTCTCGACAAGGATGCGAAATATCGCAATTGCCGGTGCTGAACCGCCCACCATGTAAATATTGTCTTGATTTTGAAGAAGAATAGTTATATGCTCCGCAGGAGCTAAACAGCGATTAATTTTCATCAGAACTTTTGCAACTTCTAAGTAGCTCAAACCGCGGCAAACAAGCATGGTTGACTCAGTGATACGTGCTTTTGAATAGCTGCGAGCTTTTGGTGCACCATAATCCACTCTACAAAGCGAATTATTGTGTTCAAGGACTGATTGTGCCCGTAAAGACGACCATAACATAAACTTGGCAATTGTGAATGGATATTGAAAGTGCATCCACATGTGATTCCAATCCCTTCCAGTCGAAAAAAGGTTTTCGGCTACTTCTTGAGAGATCCAACCTTGAGAGTGGCCAGAGCCAAAGAGCATTGGATAGTAGAGCATTAGTAAGTTGTAGCTGCAGAGAACTCTGCTTATCTGAATCACATAATTCATAGATGTGGATACAGGCGCACTAGCCAAACCGTCCGTCTGTAATGCTGGCAAGTCACGATTTGCTGAAACATTTTGCAATCTTATGTGGTTAGTATCCGTGACGTCCTCTGGAGGCTCGTTAAGTGTATTCAATCCAGCGCTTGCCGAGTTGCTCCCAAACTCTGTCCGCTCGACCTTCCCTTGTTCAGCGCACATGAAGTAAGGCCTACGAAGTAATAAATTCTTTCCTCTCAGCGATATGCTATCGAATTTCGTTCTTGTTTGAGCATGTCTTGTTTTCACCTTGTGAGTAGTCAGGATTTCATGGGGATGCTTGCCACGTGTACATGCTGAAGCAAAGTAATAGAAGGCCTGCAGTTCGAACCGGCGATCAATCATATCGGTTCCAACGCAAAATAACTCATCATGAATCGCAGAATGGATACGATCGAACGCGTTGGTGAGATTATGAGCAATAGTTTTGTATCCTTGACGCTGACCAAACAACTCTGCCCATGTAGACGGTTGGAAATACGGGAATCCTTGACCGGTAAAGTGCGCACAGGCCGCAGAGATCCGCTCTTCCATAGTTATTACCACACGGTTGTATTTATTTTTCGATTCCCTTTGCTGCGAGACGTGATATGCTGTCTCAAACGTACGTTTCGGCGCTTGGGACTTGCTGCTGTGTTGATGTGACACATGGGTTCAGATGCAGACTCATCAAGACGATTTTGGAACTTGCCGCCCGGAATACCCAAAGAAATCGCGCCAGCGACGATCACGTGATTGGTTCATTATTACAGCGTAGCACTTATCTATCGGCTCATACGTGAGCGGATGTACCGTAACTTCTCATGATGTATACATCCTCTTTAGGTAGTCAACTATGTCTGAACTCTCAAACAAAGACACGCCAGTGTTTGGATCCTCGAGAAAAGGAACTTGAAACGCACCTACACGCTTATACAACGCGTCTCTTCGAATACTGCCGCGTGCGCAAGGAAGTACCACATGCGGAAGCCCGAGCTCGTAAAGAGCTTTCCTGACGACAGCACAAAAGGGCGAGGCTTCGTACGCCCAGAAAACTAATGGCTGCTCCAACACAGTACTCGAACCAGTGAATCCCGACGTTTTATTTGTTCTTGCCGAAGCTTTTGAGAACCACCCTACCAGCGACACAAGGAACGATGGCTTTTCGCCATCTAGATACTCGTTGTAAAGGTATTGAATAATGGCATCCGGACCAATCTTTTTGACTCTTTCGTCTCGAGTATCGCGAAGGTAAGGGATCTGCTCCGAACCAGTCGGAACACCTCGTAATAGTTCTAATTCGGATCTATATTTTGAGAGGTGCTGGGAACACGGCTTGCACACGTAAGCAACATCCAAGATGTTGAGAACTTCTCGCACCAAACGACACGACCCATCGTCTTCGATATCGTACAGCTCTAAAGTAGGTATCAAGAGCCCATCGCTCATCTTCTCGGCATTTGACTGTCTCGCCCTTGCTTTTTCAAGCCCGTTAAGCTCCTGCAATCTCAACCCAGCGCCCCGCACGAATGCATACCTACTGACATCATCGAACGCTATTCGAGGAGACCAGCCATGGACAAAAAGTCCTAGCGCCAGTCTAGAAATGCCGCGCGCAGTCGCGTCCAATAACTCTCCCTTTTGAGAATCCGTGAATGCGAACAATTTTGGTCGGTTTTGCGGATTGATCTTGGCGTCTACTGCAACGACATTTGTGTCGTGTGCAGCACCTTTGAAGGTCTCTCCAGGACGTATCATGTCCGCTCTCCACATGCAGTGCGCTCCGTAAGGGACTCTTTCTGGCAACGAAATGGAGGCTACGGGCCCAGCCTCTAAGTTTCGCGCATCTAGTATCACGCACTGTGTACACCCCTGATAATCTGCCGACATGTTACTTTCGTCATGCACGTACATGATTAACCAGCCGTCGTCTTCCTCCTCGCTTCCTGGACGAGCAATGAACTGCGCCTCCATGCCGTAGCGATTCGGCCCGTGCTCGTAAACTGTCGTCTTGCGCTCGTGCAAGTCTATCTTGACAATAGCATCAAACTTCAACTGCGTCGATGTCTCAAGCTCAGACAACAAGATTCTGCCTGCGTAAGCGTACCGATTTTGCATTCCAACAAACTTGTCGTTGATTCGTGGCGTCTCCATCGGCACGTGAAATAAATATTCCTCGGCTACCTCGCCGGTGACGAGATTGATCTTCCACTCGTGCACTCTCGGAATCTTGTCCCCAATCCTCACAGCCTGTTGGACCCAAGCGCTCGACCCATTTGGCCGCATTGCCTCGTGAAAAAATCCATCTTCACGTACCCCGACGATTACTATCAGTTGTTCGCCTTTTGCATTTTTATCTTCCCACGCGTTTATGAAGTGATACACCATTTGCGCGCAGCTGCAGTTGAACCAAGATACATTGTTGGAGCGAGCTCCTCTGTTCAGTACTCCAAACCGTGCTCTTTTGCCTTCATTATACTGTAGTGGATGAATTCCGAGAATTTGACGAATAGGCTTAATATCCATGCTTCCTTCAAAAATAATCGTGAAATGTTCTGTTACGCAGAAATCGTGCATGAAAATACTCCCCACAAACGGTAGTGACCAAAGCGGGTTGACGCTTGAAACTTCGCCCTGCGGCGTCAACGTGCCCACCGTACAATGCGGTGGTGACACGGGGTTGAAACCAAAAAAAACTAGCTCCCCCGTCCATGGTAGAATTTTCGGATGGGCTGTGAAAGGGACGTACCATGGCAATTTTCCGTCAAACGTGGAAGCAGAGACTGTGTCAAGTGTCTCTGCGTCGAGCTCCCAAGGAGGGCAAGTATCTTGCAGAGCATAAGTGCGACCGGCAAAATGCAATAACGCTGTATTTGCGCTATCCTTCATGAACTTCCCACTCTGCACAAAGTTAGCCAACGCGTTTGCTAGAAATGTTGGACCGTCTGCGTTCATGAGTGGCCTAAAAATTCGCGCACCGTGTTTGGTTTCACGCTCCCAGCTTGTTGTGCGAATAAAGCGGTTTCTGTATTTAACTTTTTCACCCGCACAGAAGTCTGTGGCGTATATCATACCGTCACCTTCGAACCAATGATGCCAGCCAACACCTAGACCGAAATCCTGTTGTCCTGGACCTTGACCCCAACGCTTGTAGTGTTCCACTGGGAATTTTGGATTTGGTCCGACATACGCATACTGTCCTAGCGGAAAATCAGTAGGAATAGTACCAACAACTCTCATACTTGGATTCTCGTCAACGGCTTTACGCTCGTTGCACGAGCAACTGGCGGTGACCTCTTGGACGACAGGATAATAGTTGCCGGATAGAAAAGCCGCTCCGTGCTCCCCAAATTCTTCTCGATCGACGTACTGACGAGAACTAGAAATTTCGCACCGCACACGTTCGGATTCTGAATCGCTCGTAGAGGTGCAAACGCTAGCCTCATCGACCGCCCCATTCGATATGTCTGTAGAAGGTTGGGTTCGACAAACTGCAGCACGAAGTTCACGAACCGTGTGAATCTTGTGGTGCAGACGAAGGTTGCGAGTTTTCGTGAAATAAGCCAAGTTTCCACTCGTCATCATTTTATTTCAGGTGCCAGTGTGAGTTTCTTCTCCGCGGGAGGTCGGTGTAGCGTCTAGTTGGGTCGTACCGGTAACTCGATCACAGTCCGTCCGGCTGAAGTAGGTTCCTCTCTTCCACTGGTATGTAACGTGCAGTTGATAGCCCCCCCCCGAGCACCGGAAGTTAGAGTTGGGGCCAAGTATCACGGTTCCCTCGATAGTTCCTGACCCCGTTTGCTCCGGTCAGCTGATAAGGTGCACGCTGGATACGCCATGGACTTGATTTTCTTTTCCTCTTCGATTTCAGCAGATTTTATACAGACTCGAACATATTGTGAGTAGACGCCACCTATCCATAGATTGATCAGCTCAGCTTACCAATACTAACTAGTTAGGCCGACGGAAAAATTAATACTAACGTTAGTATACTAAGGCCGACTAACAGTAACGTTCATAACTAAAGTTGGAAAACTTTATATATCGCCGGTTCAGAGGAGTCCCTACATGCATGACGAGTCATGAAATGTCAAATATCACAATACATTATGCCTTTTAGCACTGTCAGATCATTACATCACATCACTACTACCGGGTGTTTTCACCTTGTGAAAATTCGTGAAAAACTTGATGCGTGACAAACACGAGTGAAATCAAGTGACGCGACGCAAACTTTAGACGACCGACCGCTCGCAAACAGTGATATATACTCCGCGTTACATAAATTAAGCAGTTACGCATCGTCAACACACTCACACGTGTGCCCGCTGTATCATTTGTATCGCAGTTACCCTTCCACTGTCACACTGAACTGATGTATTCCAAACCCTATATAGGGTTTAGCCAAACCCTAAGAGATGTTCATCGCGCCGAATGCCATTCGAAATGCATCGCGTCGATGTGCGCGCTTCAAGGAGTGTCATTGATATGCAGCTAAAGCGTTTTGCGGAAGAATACACGCAATGGATCGCGTTTGTGAGGATCCATTGATGTTACTGTCCGCGACAACTAAACCCTAAGTAGGGTTTAGAGCGCGGCGCGTTGACAAGTAATCTGTTAAGCAGCAAGTTAGAATTGCGATGGTAATCCCACGCGTCGTCGGGGTTTGCGCGCTGTGAAACTATGCGAGACATTCAAAACGGGTCTGTTGTCGTCGTTTTTGGGCTTTTCGTCGCGGCATAGTGGTTACGTCGTCGGTTTCGCTTCAAATCATGCAACTTTGAAGCATCAAGTTTTTCACGAATTTTCAGCAGGTAGAAACACCCGGTAGTAGATGTGATATAATTATCTGACAGTGCTAATACAATACACAATGTATTGTGATATTGAACGTTCATGACTCGTCGGTCATGTAGGGACTCTCCCAACCGGCGATATACTTACGTTAGGGTGACTAACAGCAGAACTTCATAACTCGGGCATAACTCGGACTTAATACCCGAGTTATGAGAGATAGCTGTTACCCCCTGAGCGCGTCGTAACTTTAAGACCCTAGTTAGGCGAAAATGACTAACAGCTAATTTTCATAACTCCGTCATAACTCGGGCACGTTGACGAGTCATGAACTGTGATCTCAATCATACTCGATTCCGTTCACGTCCACTTGTCCGAGTTATGCGTCACATGACTAACAGCAGAATTTCATAACTTGGGCCTAACTCGACCCCCTCGAAATTAATTCAAGGATTGACTCGTCCCGAGTTATGAAGAAACGTGAAAATTCTTCATAACTCG